AAATGATATTGCCCATGAGTTTTTGGAGTCACTGAAACCGGATCACACTAACCTCATCATAATTGGGAATGTGTATAGACCCCCAAACAAATGGATGACTAATATCATAACGATTCCTACTCGCAATATTGAAAATGGTGGATCCTATATTGACCATATTTGGACAACTCATCCTGAAAGAGTGGCTCATTCAGAGGTGTCTGACATTGTCATCAATGATCATTTGCCTGTAAGTTTTATTAGGAACTGTTCTAGAAAAACTAATTGTTTTGTGAAAATTATTCGGTACAGGTATAAGAAAAACTTTGACATTGATAATTTCCAGAAAGATATAGAAGCTCTGCCATGGTCGTCTCTTAAAATATTTGATTCTGTGGATGATATGCTTTCTGGTTTTCAGTTATTATTTCTTGATGTGATAGGCAAACATGCACCAATGGAGAAAAAATATTTAGATTTAGTAATATTCCTGAATGGTGGAATAATAAAATCAATATTGCTATCCAGCTACGAAATAATCACAAAAGAAATAACCACACTGAATTATAAAGGAAATGGTGTACAAAAGTAACATATCTTACAAGAAGTTCTAAATTTTGTTTACCAATCAGTCTTAGATAAATGTGAAAACTCCGCCAATGATAATTGGAGAAATTTTAGAAAATTATGTCCCAAGTCTTTTAACAATATGTTTTCATTTATACATGAACATGGTAATGATGTTACTGACGCTAAAGGAAGTAGCAACATTTTCAATTCTTATTTCACCAATATCTCAAAACAATATGTTGATGAAATGAAGATTGTGACCCCTAAGTTGTGTTACAAAGGGTTAGGTTTTTTTACTACAGAGAAAATCCATTTTCTATACCACAGATGAATGTTTCATTTGTTGTTAAGTACATGAAGGGGTTGGACAGTAAAAAAGCAACTGGTTTGGATGATATCAGTGCAGTATTTTTAAAACATTGTGCCGAAAGTGTGGCACCAGTTTTGTGCAAAATTATGAATCACTGCATTGATACTTGTACTTTTCCTACTGTATGGAAAAATGCAAAAGAAAGTCCTTTATTCAAAAAAGGTAACAAAGAAATGGTATCAAATTATAGACCAATATCAGTGCTTCCTGTATCATCAACATGTCCTGAGAAATATGTACATATACACCTCTATGACTTCTTAACACGGCACAACTTGTTGATAGAAAATCAATCTGGTTTCAGACCCCATCACTCATGCCAAGCAGCGTTAACAAATCCAAGGTATGACGCTTTTGATAAAGGGTTTCTTACTGGTGTTTTGTTTTTAGATTATCGCAAGGCGTTTGACCTGGTTGACCATACAGGTTTATTACAAAAACTGCAGCTAAACGGTTGTTCTGTTAATGCAGTAAAAAAAAAAAATATTACCTTCATGATCGTTTCCAAACTGAGTTTTAAGAAATCACTGAGTGATAGTCATCAGCTTACAGTTGGTGTGCCGCAGGGATCGATACTCGGTCCCCTGATATTCATCATTTATGTAAACGACTTACCTTTTTCGAACAAGCACTTTAGTTTACACATGTATGCCGATGATACCACATTTGAGACTAGTGATAAATACATTGATGTAATACATGACAAACTTAATACTGACGCAAATCTTATTTCTAAATGGTGTAGTTCTAATAAAATGTGTATTAATACTGATAAAAAAACTAAGTTAATTAGTACATATCAACGTAAAAACAGGCAAAATCGGACCTTGACTCTTGTTATCAATGGCACTGTAATTGAAAATGTAAAAACAGAAAAAAACCTTGGGGTCACTGTCGATGAATGTTTATCTAAGAATGCTCATGTTAACGATGTATGCAAAAAGCTTTCTTTTTATATTTTTGAAATGAAACGTTTGAGAATGTTTTTAAGTCAGTTTTCCAGACGAGTCGTCGACTCAACTTTGCAATCAACTATAAATAAAGCCTATTATTATTATAAATCGAAGAATACTTGCGGGTTTACGCAAAGTGCGCACGGGATTTTGTTTTGCTTGTGTCTTTTATTTTTGTTTTTCCAGCAAGTATCCCGATCCCCAAATTTTATTACAATCCACAAAATAAAATTGAATTTGTCTCCGCCAATCATAGGTCGGTTAATTAGCAGTCGGAAAAATCAAAAGCGTTGTTGCACACCTTCACAACTCATCACTAGCCATATGAAATCTAACAACATTCAGCAAAGTCGTCTCTGAAAGAAATGACGGACAATATTACGACAGAGCGCGGGTAAAAAGGTTAAAAAAATACGGGCCAAAATATAATAATGAACATAGTGAATGTATAAAATTATTCAGGTAGTGACTTATGTATGGTTTTCACACTGCGATTGTACTGTGCATGTTTCTAACATGATAGGAAGTATGAAAGGTGAATATAATAACACACTACATGAACGGCCGTCGCAAAGCAAGAGCCGCTTGTGTAAAGTGTAGAAATAGGTTGTCACATGACCCTGTTATCAGTGTAAAGTGTAGAAATAGGTTATCACATGACCCTGTTATCAGTGTTGAGGCACCTGTTACACTTGGTTGAAGACTATCGGTGTAAACTAAACTCGATAAAGAAGAAGATTACTGAAGCAGCAGGGCTTCCAAAAACATACAACTTTTCAACTATAGTGCAAGGAAACACCTTATTCTCAAAAACTGAGTGAAAATGATAAGCCCACCAAATTATGCAGATAATGGGCCATATAGATATACCACCTGTAATTAGTTACAGTCACACTCCGAGTAGCACAAGAGCAAATCGTGGATATTATCCGTCCCTTCCGGAACCTCGGTTTTCGTCCCAACAAAAAATCAAGAGAATCGGCTGAATACGACTTATAACACCATCATTCAAAATACAGCAACGAACATGGTCAAATGGATGTATGATACTGTCAAATGTGGAACGAAAATAGGAACCATGTTTCATCGTATTTTGTTGATTGGTGTTCTTATAGCCGTGATTCGATTGCAAAGATAAATTATAAATGAAAACAGTTACAAATGTAAGACGTGTGATAAACAGAATCTCACGCGAGTTTCCTTTTGATAAAAGATGACTTATGAAACGAGTTCAGATGTTATTTCCAGGTCATGCTTCCATTAATGATGAAACAAGAGATCATCAGAAAAAGAACAGTATCAGATCTACAAACGTTGCTCTTTTACCTTCTTTGCTCTTAATTTTCCTAACAGGTACTATATAACCCAATCCAATGTTAGAAAACCTATAATTGCAATACGGCTCATTAACTTAAACCTGGTAGTATCATGTTATTTGCCAATACGGCAAATGCAATTTGTATAAGAATCGTATATGCTAAAAGATGCAATTATTACATAATTTAAAAGTGCTGTCAATGAGGAATGAATTCGATTGGGTATTTTTAAACAAGAGATATGTAACATTTTACATATAGAAATGTAGCCCCCCCCCCCTCCCAAAAAAACAACAACAAGAGGCCCATGGGCCTTAACGGTCACCTGATATATTTATACAGAGAGTTGATTTCGTTTTTAACATGAACAGAAATATTATTCAAAGTGACAAAAAACAATAAAACCACCTTATTCAATATCAAGCATACAGATTTCAGACTAAAAAGGATTTGAAACTAGCACCTCTGATTCTAAACAAGGAAAATGAAGAAATTTTAGCACACTGACTCCCTTGAGCCCCACCCTACAGCCCTTGGGGGTAGGGCTGGCTCAAAATTTTCAAAGTATCAAACTGTCAACTCAAGGTTATAATTCCAATCAAGTTATTAACATGTAATATTCAAA